TTAGGGACTTGCTTTGTCCCCATAAATTAAAAATGTTTTTTTTTTTTTTTGAAAATGAAAAATGCAGAAAATTTTCTGTAAGGGGTAGGTTTAGGTGTAGGGTTGGTTTAGAAAATATAGTTTGCACAGTATAAAAACCATTATCTCAGCCATTATATCAGCCATTATACATACCATTATATAAACCATTATATTCCCTTATATCAGGATTTACTAGAGTACCAAGAAGGATTTCTTTCCCTTTGTGATCCCAGAAGAGCAGTCCGTTCCACTGCATGCCATCTAAACTAACATTATTCTGACTGATGAACAGAAACTATTGTTCCTGGAGAGACACTGAATCTTGCTCATCACCTGCATTTGTTTTTAATTCCTGATTCTGATGCAGATAAACATCTGTGGAAAACTGTTCAGACATCAGGTGTCATCTGTTGTTCTGGGTGTTTTAGTGGCGACTTCAGTGAGTTAAAGGTGTTGGTCTGTAGAAACACTGGGCTCTTCATTTGGTGTGATTTTATAAAAGCTACTGTAGATGTCATTGTTTCAGAGGATTCAGTCTCAGTTTCATCTGCTGGATTGTCAACAGCTGTTATCAATGTGTTTTCTCTCCGTTCAATATATTATAATGATAAAATTACCTTTTATTTTCTGTAATCATAACTTTAATGAGATAATGTTCTTGATCACTAATTAATCCATTCAAGCATTCAAGTTTTGGCTCACTCTGTTTATCACTGTTGTCATTACAAATTGGTAAGCTAAAACTACAATTCTGAGCAATTTGTATGTATGATTTTGTTTTGTTGCTACCTTGACATTTAATGTAGCATTTATATATATATTTTTCTGTTTATGTTGTTTTATATTTCTTTTCTTGTGTTTTGGATTTGTCAAAACATTTGGTCAAGTATAAGCTAAGTATGTGGTTGTATTCAAATTGCAAAATATAAATGAATTTGACTGACTCAAGCTGAATTCAATAGGTTGTATTAGTGAAAATAACTTATTTCATGGTCAAATCAGGGCAACATGTCTCTTTATTGTAACAGCTGCATGGCATACAACTTCAACTTCATTTATTTATATAGCACATTTAAATGCAACTTTGTTGCCCAAAGTGCTTCACAAATTAAGGATAAAAATAAAATGCACACACATAACTTACACACAAGTAAAGAAACATTTATAAAAGTATATAATACAGACGGTTTGCTTCAATAAATATTTGCACATGGAGAATCACGTTCAATGTCTGTTATGTTACCTCTGTAAAGTTCAGATTCAGTGCTGAGAGATTCAGACTCTAAACATTGAGATGAAGCAGTGATGTAGTGTGTGTTTAAAGCATGTGTTCAGACAGACGTCGCTCCTCTATTTCATGTGTCGTTCTGATTTCTCCTCTCATCTCTCAGTCTGTTTTCATTCTTCATCTTCATTGGTTGCTCTCTCAAGTCCTGAATGGATGTTGTTGGGGTCTCTGCTGCTGGACGGGGGTCTCTGTGAGTCTGTGTGTCCAGGACAGTCTTCTCTCTGTGGGACACGGCCAGAGTCTGTCCATGTTCTGTCTGGATCATCTGACCGCTGTGAGACGACTGACACATGATGAAGGATGCACTGTATGAATGCAAGGTGAGACAAACATAAATGGTTATCTGACCACAGCTGTCCTGTTAAACAAAAATGCTGAATCACATCATCACTAGCATAAAGCTGATCTGTCAACCCAAACTCATTTGATTCTTCTTTTGCCATATTTTACCCCACACAATTTCTATAGTAATGGACTTTGTGGTGTGGATAGGACCCTTGGTTTACCATGCCTCACAGAATACGGATGCAGCCCATCCTGATAGATACTGCCCACCAGAAAAGATGTGCTACTGACATTTTAAATGTGTTTGTCACAGTGGTCATATATCTCAACAGGTTTGTTATCTGTCTCTCACAATTAATGTACTTTCATGTTTTGAACATGACAGTTTTAAATAAGGTCAGATTTAATGTAGTGGTGACTGGCAACAATTTCTATTCATACTGTATTTGTTAAGCTACATAAAGCAGCTTAAAAGTGCTCTGTGACTCACGTGACAATGTTAGGAAGCTGCGCCAGACTCTTTCATGTAAGAACGAAAGTGAAAGTAAAAAAACAAAAAACAAACAGCGTCGTCGTTCTTGAACCTGAATATTCAAACGGCCGCGTATTACATGGTAAGTTATTAATTAATGTTCTTGTAAACATCCAATGTGCTGCTATTTGAGGTTTGCTTTACATTCATATATACACACATATAACATGAATAATTATGCTGGTATCAAAGCCGTCTTGTATAACTCTGTAACTCTGTTGGATTCTGTGACGACGAACGTTCGAAGAAAACTGGCTAAACATACTATTCTACTATTCTACTATTCTACTATTCTACTATTCTACCAGGACACTGTTTAATCTACAGAGATGGTTATTGCATGTACACAGTGCACAGTGAACCAATGATTGTTTATTCTCTTACGAAAACGCGTGAAAACGAAGTGACGCAGCCTACTTTCACTAACTCTTTCCCTCACAATCTAAAGAAGTGTGAATCACAGATGCTTAATTGTCTAAAGATGTAGCCATGTGTTTTACTGCCTAACGATGGAGCCGTGGCTGAGTTGTTGTTGTTGTTTTTTTGGCTTTTTTATGGCTCAGTTTTGGGGTTTCTGGTTAAAGGCTGGTCTCTATGTAGTTTACTGAAGGCTGAGATTGGGTAGCACTATTAAAACTTGTTCTGGCCCAGTTCAGGGCTGGTTATAAGTTACTTTTCGGCTGAGATTTGGGCCAGTTATGGCTCATGTCTGTAGTCCAGCTCTGGACCAAACAAGGGCCGTAATTCTTTGCTGCATGTGGGCTGAGTGCTTGTTTGGCCCAGAGCTGGACCAGAAGACAATTGCTATGTGGGCAGAAATAACATGTATGAACAGTATTGATGTATGCTGATTTTGTAAGTTCATTCGTATGACCCTTGCAAAATTAACGTTTTCTTTTAGGCTACGTTAAGTGTTCGATCTGATAAATGTCATTTGATAAGTCAACAGCGTAATTTTCTCAGTAATTGCAGTCTAGTTCATTTTTCATTGCAGTTGTGCTGTATTGAATTGAATTGCTATAACTAATCATATGTTGTATTGCACTGAACTTAACTGTAATTGTACAACAATGATCTGTTGTTGTACTGTAGTTGTATGGGAGGGGTGCAGGGTCCTGCAGTGACAGTGCATTAATGTGTTTACTCCAGTGTACTTTGGGAAAAAGCATTTTATCTGCACTGCCATTTTCATTGAAAAGCATAATTGAAATGATTTATAATTGAATTAAACTACTCAAAAGCATTGTTTTATCTCTTTGTTTCCAAAAAAAAAAAGGTCTGAAATCAATCTTTCAACACACTTTGATAAAGGAGAGTACGAGGACACTTGCTCTAAAATGAGTTCTTCATCTGCTGGATCAAATGGCAATCAATCCATGAGGAATCATCCTTCTGTATTCAGTGATGAAAGTGTGACCTCTGACCTCAGGTAACACGGCCATTTTTGCATTTGGCAGATGTTTCTGGTAACACTTTAGAAAATATGATATCCCCCAAATAAGTCGGCTACAGGTTGAAATTGTGACTACTACTCTTACCAAAGGATGGATGTTCTCTGTTTATTTCAAACGAAAACATAAAATGATAATAAAAAAAAAAATCATTTAAAAATGTTAATAATTAGGAAGTGATTGAATTAGTTCACAATTATGAGCTCTAGTTTGTATCAGTTCAGTATGTCTCCGACTCCAAAAGACCTATACCTTTAGTGAGAGCAGGCTGGGGAGGACTTTTCTTGAATATAAATAATGATGTTCTCTTGACAAAAACAATTCACATCCTTAATGATCATCGCCTGCATTTATACTGTGTTAAGCACAAAACCGCATATTCCAGATTACAGTGTCTGGTAAAATATCACTAGTGCCTCACACAAATGTATGTGTCAGATATAACTGTTATAGCAGGCAATTCATAGAATTATGCAAATCAGGAAATGGTACAGAAATGCCACAAAAATATGTGCTAAATTTAATTTACTGTAAAGAAATTAATTTACCTTTCAACCTTAAAATTCAAATTAAAACATAACAGTGTAATTGTGTAAGTAGAGTCAATTGTGAGATAAAGTTAAACAAGATGAAGTCACATTGTCAAATGGCACACAATCTGACTTTCACTACACAATTATTGTGGCCAAAAAAATTATGATAACTATATTATTAAAATATATATTTAAAATAATAATAATAATCAAAATGATAACAACAATAATGCTAACAGTGAAATTCAACTTTAGCTTTTTTATTTCCTGTTTTCTCTTTTTCGGCCAATGTATCACACTTAAATCATAAATATAGGTACATGCCACATTCGACCGCTCCAGACATGTCGATGCACCAGCTATCTTGTCAATTGGTCATCATTCACAATAAAATTCACGATCACATGTATTTGTATAGTGCTTTTCATGATACAAATCATTGCCAAGCAGCTTCACAGAAAATTAAAGTTTCTACATTATATTTAGGAGTAGCTTATCAGTGGTGACCAGTGTTGGGAGTAACGCGTTACAAAAGTAATGCATTACAGTAACTGATTACTTTTTGCTGTAACGCAGTAGTGTAAGGCATTACTAATCAATTTTCAGTAATATTTTACTCGGTACATGTTCAGTAACGCATGGGTTACAACACACTTTTGCCCAAAATGTAATTGTTCAAAGAAAAAAAAAACGCAAGACCGCGAGACATTAACGAATCAAAAATGCCACAAGTAAGTTCTATTTCCTGTTCGTGGTCAGTCAATAGCCGCGTGTGGTGTCCAAGTTTGTAAATAAAGACTAAACGACAGCTTCTGATATATTTGTTTAGTGATTTATTTCATTCATCTCCCTCTCGCTGGTGGAACTTTGTATTGTGTGACGTAGTTCAGTGAAGGCATGTTTAGGGTGTGTTTTACAGGAGTGCCGTGAGGCTACTGGGCCGACAGTGGAAACTCGGCATGATTTCGGCCTCTGTACTCGAGGTCCGAGGCTATTAGCTCCGCCCGGCTGGCTGTAAGCACCGGCTCGCACTGGCTAGTGGAAAAGCGGCTAATGGGTGATGGCAGAAGACTGTACATGCGTGAGATGCACGTATGCGCATCTTGTCATGGCATTAGAGTTTACATATAGTCCTGTTGTGTCTAATATGAATAGACCCAAGCTATTCACAGATATTGCCAGATAATCACTTTACCTCTACCATACTTTTAACAGACTTGGATCGTTTGTGATTCTGGCTGTCATCCTTTCTTGCATTGTCTTGAGTCTTCACTTTGCCAATTATAAGCTATATTGTTTGTAGCCTGGATAGCCCACAGTCATTATGCTACACCATATGCTCTGCAGTACATTTGATCATTTTAGAATGTATGGTAACACTTTAGAAAAGGGAACACTTATTCACGATGAACTACGAATTTTCCCTCAATAAATTCTTTATTTGCTGCTTATTAATAGTTAGTAAGGTAGTTGTTAAGTTTAGGTATTGGGTAGGATAAGGGATATAGAATTAGGTCATGTAGAATAAAGCATTAATATGTGCTTAATTACTGCTAATAAATGGCTAATATTCTAGTAATATGCATGCTAATAAGCAACTAGTTAAGAGACCCTAAAATAAAGTGTTACCTTAAGTTCTACTTCTGTAGTTATTTTGGTAGTTTGTATTTTGGTGAAAGTAACTCAAAAGTAATACAGGAGTCATGTAACGCATTACAATTCTGAGACAGTAATATTGTAAGGTAAGGAATTACTTTTAAATAACAGTAACAAGTAATCTATAATGTATTACAGTTTGGAAGTAACTTGCACAACACTGCTCCTTTGACATTGAACAGTTTGATGTATTGTGTAAACATAGTGTTGCAGGGAGAAAAAAATTAAAATGTAGGTTGTACAAAAATAGCCTATTAGCAAGCCTATTTTTATTCATCTTGTCAAAATAGCAACTAAATTTGTTTGACATTTTTCTGTTAACACAGTAGGAAAAGTGTCGCAGAGAAAAAATTCAAAAAAAAATTATCACAATCAATCACATGATTTTCTGCGATTAATCGCGCTTAAACGCATTGTTATGCACAAAATTCAATAATGAATTCAAAAGTAGTGTATTGTGCACTTTTTTCATTTAAAAGTACTGCTATATGAACAAAAGTACAATAACGTTTGGTTTGCAAACACTTTACAATAACGTTTGGTTTGCAAACAATAATGTGCTTTTTTACAGCAGTATTCCTTTTACGTAGCAGTTAAAATATTTATTGTAAATCTCAATTTATAACATTAATGTAATCAAATTAAATATAAAACCAAAGCTATTTGCCACTGCCAGGGCATTAACGTTTTTATAGAAAATATTTTATAGTTTGTTATAGAAAAACAGTTATGCTCAGAGTCCAGAGCCTCGATCATAACATTATAACAGGCACCTTCTGAGTAGAGACCTGCACTATCGTGGTACCTACGGGACCCAATGCAACAACAGAGTGCGGCGCGGGACAGCACTTGATGGGCGAGTGCGGGAGCAGACGGGTAGAGACTCATGTGTGCGGGATGCGGGAGAATAAGGCTGTACTCACACTAGGCAATTTTAACCGGGCCAGAGTGCGTTTGACCCCCAAAGCCTGGTTCATTTGACTAGTGTGATCGCTCCGTGCCGCGCTTGGCCGTGTTTCGTTTAGCCATCCCTGGCTCGGTTGGAAGAGGTGGGCCAAAGTGCAGTTCAGTTGGGCTTGGGCACGGTACACATGTAGTGTGAATGCGAATCGCGCCAGAGCGATTTCCGATTTCCCACTTAAGTCGTGAGCGCTTCATGTGAGTGCTGCTGCAGTCTTAGGCCCACCCCAGATGCTCTCATTGGTTGAGACGCGTGATGACACCCATCCTAGTACTGATCAACATCCCACCCCTCCTTCAGAGACAGTGAGCAACGGACTTTCATAATAATAAAAAACTGCATTAATGCGATATTAAATAATTTTCGGCGGTAAATCAATTAATGCGTTAACGTGAAAATAACGCGTTAACTTGCCCAGCCCTAAAATAAATACAACATCTGTCATTTAAAATTATAGGCTAAGCAAAATATAAACAAAACCGAGTTGAAAGTCCTTCAAGGACAGCGCATCCACACTTTGCTCCATCCTTATTCTGCTCTGTCACTCATCGACAACCTGCCTGTTCTGTCTGAGGCCCGTATATTTACCACCGGTACAGCCTGCTCTGAGCATCGTAATGCACATGCTGCACACAGATCATGTAAATAAAAGGCGTGACGCAGAAAGCATGCGTGCAGCACGTGTATAACAGTCCTGAGTGCAGGCTGTACAGTCGGTACTGTTATGATTGTACTGTACAATTCAATCCAGCAGTAGCTAAGCTCAATCACTGAACCTTTTACGTTTATGTTAACTGAAATAATTCAGAATCTCACCTGAAAATCTGATAACATCAGCAATCTTCTTCCATGCAGCTGAGTTCCATATTTTGTCTTTAAAAAAATTTGTGGTTTGTGACGTACAGTATAATTCAGGGTATTTCCCAAACTCATTGAGTTTTCCTCATCCTTTTAATTAATGTTAATGTTAGGCTACACATTGCTATTGAAGTGTGTTGTGACCTGGTTCCTCCAGTAAGTAACAGCACATGACAATGAACGTCCTCACAACAGCAACAGTCAAATATGCATTCGCACTGAGGTTATAGTTTATGAAAAACTGTGTTAGTGGCACAGCAGGATTTTGAACAGCCTCCTGAGTCATACCTGGTTGCCGTGGACAGATGTTGAGGTGTGCATACACTCATAATAAACAATGTGTTCGAAATGTGTTTTAAACGTGGTGTGACACAGCGCTGTGCTTCTCGTTCGGAGTATTACACCCTTTAAAAAGACCCTTTTGGATCTTCAAAGTTTTGGTGGCATGGACTATGACTGGAGATACAGAGATTACTCAGGTTTCATTAAAATATCTTCATTTGTGTTTCAAAGAAGAAGGAAAGTCTTACATGTTTGGAATGACAGAATATTTGTTTTGGGGTGAACTAACCATCTGTGTTGTCTAAAATGCTGTTTTGTTTGTCTTTTGTCAGTATCAGCAAGAGCCAGACACCAAGATCAGAGTCTCCAGAACCCAGCGGTGTGTCTGTGAAGAGTAGCAGATCCATGGATGCACCTGTTGTATTCAGTGATGGAAAAGTGATCTCTGATCCTCTGTTAGTAGAACCATTTACTTACTAATTTCCTTTAGTGCATCTCTGATTAACAATAATGTATTAATCTAAATGAAATGGCACTAAATGTACTCCAAAATATTTAACATATGCACTGCACAGGGGTGCAACCTGAAGAGGGATGTTGAACTTATTTCTAATAACTGGTATATTTCTGATGGTCATAAGCTGTCCTTGTAATCACAGTCATTGTACTTTTTACAAATCAGAATCCATCAGTTTTAATCAACTTGTGCATTTAAAGCAGCAGATGATGAAACGGCAGCATTTTTTTGGAATAAACAAAATGTCATAGTTTGTTGAAGGGGATGCTAATGTAGTTATCATTATAGTTATTGTTCTTGTTGTGAATAGGCCTGACATGTATAGTTCTTGCAAAATGAAAATTATGCCATTTACTCTCCCTCAGGCTGCTCCAAAACTGTAGGACTTTTGTTTATCTTCAACACAAATTATTACATTTTAAATGAAACCTGAGAGATTGTCTAAAGTGCTGTTTTGTTTGTCTTTTGTCAGTATCAGCAAGAGCAAGAGACCAAGATCAGAGTCTCCAGAACCCAGCGGTGTGTCTGTGAAGAGTAGCAGATCCATGGACGCACCTGTTGTATTCAGCGATGGAAAAGAGATCTCTGATCCTCTGTTAGTATAAATATTTACTTGCTGATTTACTGTAGTGCATCTCAGAAGAACTTTAATAATTTTTTTAATAATCTAAATGATCATTGTTAAATGTACTCAAAAATATGCAACATATGCATAATTTAAAGAGGGGTGCTAAACTTATTTCAAATATCCAATATATTTCTGATGGTAATCAGCTGTCTTTGTGATCACTATCATTGTCCTTTTTTCTGCTCTGTTCTTTTCAGTTTCAGCATGGGGGAGATACATGAGCGGACAAGATCTGTACTTTTTTCGGCATCTCACCACAGGCAGGACATAACTGAAACAGCCCTACAGACACACACACTGGAGACTGTAGACCTGCAGAGAGTCAAAGACCAGCTCAAAACCAGCATGAAGAACAAGTATGAGAGATTATTTGAGGGAATCAAACTCCAAGAGAATGAAACCCTCCTGAACAGGATCTACACACAGCTCTACATCATAGAGGGAGAGAGAGAAGGAGTGAATGAAGAACATGAGGTTTTACAGATGGAGAAAACAGCCAGAACACAACACTCACAAGACACTCCAATCTACTGCAATGACATCTTTAAAGCTTCACCTGAACCAGGATGTAATGTGATGTTCTATGAGGAGGACCTGATTGAGAGCAGCATAGACGTCAGAGACGCCTCAGTGTATTCTGGGATTTGCTCTGAGATCTTTAAGGAGGAATATGTGATTCATCAGAGGAAAGTCTACAGCTTCATTCATCTGAGTGTTCAGGAGTTTCTCGCTGCTTTCTATGTGTTTTACT